GATATCTTTAAAAATCAGCATACATAATCGGGGTCCAGATTACGTTCATCTCTAACGCAACACTTCCATAATTTTATTGATACAATCAATAAACATATAAATAGAAATGCAACGAAAAATATGATAACATAGTCAATAATCGAAAAATTCCCTAAGGTCGATTTTACATCATAAAAATTTAAGTCAACTTTACTTTCCGTTTTTCTTATTCTTTCGTTGAGGTTTTTGAGTTCTGGAATGGTAGAAATATTCAGAACATCAGATTCGTCAAAACGAAACAGGTCAGTAGAGTTGGCGTCGTAGTGCATGTTTAGGGTGAGCGTGTTGTTGTAAGTACTAGGGTTAAACAAAATCCTAGTACCCACGTGCACTGCCTGGTTCTCTACAGACCAAGGTATAAAAGTTGCCTTATTGGGCGCGAAATGTTGAAGAGCATGCCCATCTCCGTTGAAGGCTGTTGCTCTTTCTGTCGAAGTAATAAGTACCCCTGTGTTCAACGACTCAAGGTTGTACGGGGAGCAATTGCTCTTCGTGAGCTGACAAGAGGAGCTGAGCGATGAATTTGTCAGGCAAGACAATGACAAGCTCCTCCTGAAAGATTCATCAGAACACAGTCCAAACAATCCTTCTCTGCACCCCTTGAAGCTGAAGAGAGCACCGTAAATAGACGACTAGGTTTATGAGTGAAACTATTGGACATTAGTGGACTTGAATTCTGTCTGAGGTAGTTAATGACAGGTACGAAACTAAATGCTGGGAGTTTGGGAGTGTCTATGGTTTGAGGTGCTGAAATTTTGGAATCTAAACGCTACAATTTGAGGAGAAGGTGATTCGTGATAATTTACAACAAACAAAATATGAACTAAATAAATACTACTGAGCAATTACCTTAGTAGGATAAAAACTTGATTACATTAAGATTAAAGCTATACTAAATTTCAATCTAATCCTATTCTAATGCCTAAACGAAAATATACCTTCGAATAAAAAGATATTGATAAAAGAAGTTTAAGTAATATGAGTGTTGTTAGTAAGTAAGAATGACATCACGGATCAATGATGAACAATTTGTTTGTTAAACAAATATCTATCGAGATAAAGTTTGACTGAACTAGTTATAACATTTGATAATATAATCATGATAATAATCTGTTGCTGATATCTGTTATAAACAGAGACATAAATATCTGTTAAAAACAAAGACATAAAACTTTGAACAATTGTTAACAATTTTTACAACAAAAAATGCATGATGAACACTTTAACAGCATTTCTGACAGAAGTTTAGTTTAACCTTTGGGCATAAACATTTGATGCCAATCCAACAAATTAAGGCAACCAAAATTAAACCAGCAGAGATTCCTAGCGGGAGCCCTATTTTTAGTCCCAGGTTCGATCTCTTAGGTACTGTAGCTACAGTATCCTCTGTTCCTGCAATATGTTTAGAATAAGTAAGAGTTGGTCAAAATAAGGTATAAATGATTTCAGTAAAGAATTTGTGCACTATATTGTGCATGGCTAATCTCATATTCACTCGCCTCTCAGAATTAAAGGTTATTCATATCAATTATACATAAAATATAAAATATAAATGGTTCGGGTTATGTTAGTTTACACTTCAAGAGCGCAAGACGACTCTCTCGTATTTGAAATCTCGACTCACCGACTAAGCTTTTACAGCTTACTGTAACCGTAATCTTCTTCTTACTACTTAGAAGAAGGGGGAAAGTGGAACTTTCGCATTCCTTCACCACCTCGCATCCTAAAATGAAAACAGTCAGAAAATATACAATTATTTTGTATCATGCAGCATAAGCTCTAGCTAATCCTGAATATATTGGTCTCGATTGAATTATCGGTATACTTTGCTCATCATTTTATTAAGGGGACCTATTTACAGACTTAATAGAACATACTTTATATTTGCTGTATTATAACTTAAGATGGCACTCACCCTCATACTGCGCTTGGAGACCCTCCAGCTCTTCCTTGCTCAGATCTGCGCTGCTCATCCTGACACACTCTTCGAGGTCCTCGTGGGCTGTGTCGGAAATGACGAGCCCGACGAGGACCAGGATCAAAATCAGCTCAGAAATATTCATTATATCAGTTTAAATTAGGTGTGCAAATGATGGTGTAAACTACGGAACTGAACAGGTCACAAGTGCGAGCACTGGTACCCTGTGTCACGTGACGATGTAGCAAGCATTCATGCCTCGTTAGACATCTGCCAGGGTCCAATTACTCCATATAAGGAGAACTGCAGTTGGGTTCATACTGGATCAGAGTCACGTGATAGAAGTAGTTGTCACGTGACCTCATTTCCCAGACTATAACAAGCATTCATATCTCGTTAGACGTTTGGCAGGGTTATTCAATATTAGAATAACACTAGAATTTAACCATGGATATGGATCAGAGTCACGTGATACTGATAGAAGCGCTGGAAAGTTAATGTTAATTTAGGGTAATGGATATTAATATTTACTTTACTTTACGTTGGTTAGCTGCAAGGCAGCAGGGTCATATATAAAAATATAAAACCACCGTTTTACCTTTACTTCGGACAACCATGGCCGGCACCAGTACTACAGGAACCCGAAGGATCGATAACTAAGGCGATTAAGGTAAATATTACACCACACTTTCTTCGCCCGTGGCTCCGCTGTATAGATCATGTACATCTTCTCATTTGACCCTCACACACGATTTCTGGAGCGTTCGGCTGAGTAGATAATATATATATATAAATAGCCATTTATTTTGGGCTGCACGATTTTGTTTATGTAGGATCAACAGCACTCTTTAGAATTATCTGAATTGGAACCGCTATATAAATAGCCATTTATTTTGGCTGCACGATTTTGTTTATGTAAGATCAAATTTTAAATCAAAGACTGATCGACATGGTATGAAATATGAAACTACTTTAAAGGCTACGACATGGTATTTTGCTCAATATCAACTTTAATTTTAGCAGTTTTGGTAGGTATTATCAAATTGTCAAATGAAGATATTGATAAAAGAGTTTATTTAGCCATGGATATAATAGAAATTAAAAATTATGTTACAGAGACCTATGTATTTTGAAAGTCATGATTGACCCTATATATTTTAGGTCATTCATAACTTAACACAAAAAAGAATTGTAATCAAACAAATTATCTATACCAGATCGGTTCAAAATAAGTATAACTTAAGCTGGTTGATGAATGTAATGTTTGAAATTGGTAGATGTAGCAATGTAATCTATATATATTTGGTTTGCATGCACATTCAGTCTCAGCTCTTGGAGAAAACTGGCTTGGAGGACATTCTCAGTGCTTGTGACATATCTGTAGTTTCACCTTCAAATGCTGTTCTCAGTGTACCTATGATTACACGCGCACGCTACATGATGGAGGTAAATGTTTAGAAGTTGAGCCAGATGACTCCAAAATTATAAATTGTGTCTTTGAACGCAGAATTGTGCGAAGAAATATTTACGAGTCTTACATCCTGAGCCTAATGTTACGTTGATCGTAATGTTATAGACATTACAGTTTTCATATAATGCCAGGTTATTGCGATCACACTAGAAGTTCTCAAAAGGAAAGCATACGAAGATTCGTGCAGTGATGTCGAGATAGATGCCTGGAGTGCTAACTGCTTCTCAAAATATGTCAATTTCGCTTACTGGGAGACGGTTCTAGAATTTCAAATAACAGTCCTGGCTTTTATGAGGTAAAGAAAACAGACAAAAATAGATATGTGTATATATTATTATAAAATTGTGATTTATAATCTGTATAGGGGGCATTTATGCTGTCAATATTGGATACATTATGATCGTTATCTTCCAGGTCAATACGAGAGAGAAATTTCGAGAAGAGTAGGGCTCTGTTGTCAGCACTGACAAAATACTTCTTTGCCCTCGATCACACCAATTACGCTCGATGGACCCCAGTGAGCCTATTTGACTTAGAGAACTTTAAAAAGTTGATTCCAGACGAGTATGAGCAAGTGAAGAATTTCTTCACTGTGACCAAAACTCGATCGAAACATTCTGCCATTGCTTTAGACCAAGCCCATGAGCAGAATAACGCAAAGATAAAGGATATCAAGGGTGGTCTAGCTTTCCTTTGTTCCGACGATAAGACGACAATATTGAAATGGGGTCTTTCCAGTCCAGAATTCCTTAGGCTACAGGAGGAATACGAAGCAGCCGTGAACCCTACGGCGCCTCCAACTGATGTAAAGAAACATCATAGTGACTCTGTTACCCACCAAAATGAGTTTCTAAAGAACATCAAGAAACTTGAAATGGCTGTTGGGGGTGTTTTAAACCCATTCGCTTCGGAATCGTCCACACTACGTTCATTAAGAGATGGAATGGAGATCCCACAGTCAGCTGAGATTGAAAATTCAATCAGGACTCTTAAGGCAGTTGGTAATGAACAGTATAAAGAGTATGTAACAGAACGGCTACTCAAACCACTACCTGAGAGGAAGCCTATTACTGACGCTATTCACAAGAACAGTCTCATCTTACCCAAAAACAGCAATGCTGCAGAAAAGAAAGGGCAAGGGTTATCAGATCGAGACGAGAAAGCCCTTGTTCGTGATCTGCAAGTTATTGGTCTTCTAAGACAAAATGAAGTTAAAGATGCCCTTAGGTTAACATTCGTTTATTACAACAATTTTACAATCCCAATTATCTAAAATTTGAATTTTTCTGAACAGTTTAATCTATCAGCTATTATTCCGCATTTCAATATTTTGACTTTTCAAAAGATAAGCGATTGAATAGATAAATTAATATGTTATCTTAGTATCAATAAAATAGCCGATTTACGATTCAGGTACGAGCCTAAAGGTTTTCCCTTGGTGTTTATGACGAAAGGAAAAATGTACCAAAACCAAAAGTCAGCAGTACTAGACCGTTTCAAGGCATATAGTGCGAACCTTGAGCGACCTGATGTTGAAGTGGTCGTTGTAGACTTAGCTCACTACCTCTACATGTTTTCAAACAGAACAGGAGTCACGCTCATCAGACATATGTTCAATGTAAGTGCTCTGCTATGCCACTAATAAGCTCCTTCCTTCTTTCTGAAAAGCCAACACTAAGGTTTCGACGTTTGCGTCAACCCTCCTATTGTGTCAGAAAAACGTGGATTACTCTTCCATTAAATGATAGTTCAGTCCTTAAAAAGTATACTTGTTTTGGAAACTGGATCTGAAGTTTTACCCTGATTTTAAAATTTCTCCTGTTTCAAATTATTATAAAACCGAGAGAAGTTGCAGTTACTGCGGGCCTTCTGTTTGGAATCAGCTTCCTTATCAATTGAGAACATTGACCGATATTGCTTTGTTTAAAAAGAGACTAAACACTCATCTCTTTGGAAAGGTATTCATATAAGTATCATATAATATCTTTAAATTCATTAAAACCATACTTCATAAAAAATAAGTTCTTATTTACATGTTCAAGAGTCGCTTTAGATGGCTTGAACTGAATCTTTAGGTTTTGAGTTTTTTGGCCATAAAGCGATGTATACATTTATAGTTATTATTATTATCATTATTCACCAGGAGATTTGGAACGCAATTGAATCCTTGGTGCAGAAGCATAAATGCAAGACACTTGCTTTGGTGCAAGATCGGTATGATGTCCCAAATCCACTAAAGGCTCAACGTGGATCCGGTCTTCGCCAGCGTGTGACACTAGACTCCCCGGTTTGTTTACATCATGTGTTGGTAGATTTTATAACAACCGTATTTATAACACTTCTTCAGAAATATTGCATCCATTTAATTGAGCATTCAATCAAACTCCAGAAATCACCTAGATGCGACTTAATCTAATCCGGTTTTCTTTTCAGGTGCCCAGCCACTTTAGGGAAGATTATATGAAGAATCCTCAGAACAAAGAAGAGCTGTACGAAATGTTCATGACGTTTTTGCATGAACGGTCGTTAGAAAAGGCGGAGATGAGAATCTATGTCACCAAAAACTCTAGAGTTCTCTCAAATAGAGGTCCATCCTTTTTTGAGCCAAGCAACCACATCGAAGCTGACACCCGTGTGGCTCTCTTCGTGAAAGATGCGTTGCAAAAAAACTTCAAGAGAATTCTTGTGAGAACTGGTGACACTGATGTCATATTTATTCTTGTTGGACAGTGTCGAAAGTTTCTGCTGTTGAATAAGAACCTGCAACTCTTTGTTGATATGCACACAAGTTCGTCTAATAAGGGTTCTTCCAGTTACATCGATATAGTGAAAATAGCGACTTCTATTGGAATCAATAGGTCTGTCGGACTACCTCTTCTTCACGCCTACTCTGGATGCGATTATACGCCCAGCTTTTACGGTATTGGAAAATCGAAGTGGTTCGATACATACTTGTTACACCCAGAAGTCATGGACATGTTCACAAGGATTGTGGAGAATCCTGAATCAGTACAAGAAGCAGAAATCGTCAAGATAACACAGTATACCTTAGCTGTGTACGGGGTGGATGATCCTAAAAAAGGCCTGCTAGAGGGCAGATTTGATCGACTTACTTCAAAGAAAATCAACACCTTTCGTTCGCTGCCGCCATCACCTGGTGCTGCAATCATCCAATTCCGTAAAGCTGTTCATATTGCAGCACATATCTGGGGCAAAGCGTGTGAACCTGAAATAACTCCGCCAGATATGTGCAGCCCACTACAAGGGTGGAAGAAGGTCGGCGAGAACGTGGAACACATTTGGACTGTAACACCTGAGCCAACTGACAAGGATCGCTACGCTTGCTGCAAGAAGACATGTGGTTGCAGAAGAAAGCAGGACATTTGTCAAGGAAGATGCTCCTGTCGTGATGCAGACATGCCTTGTCTTTATTTATGTAAATGCAGAAGGAAATGTGCAAGTTAACGTCTTATATCAACGTTGATCCAAAATGTATATATAGGAAAACCTATTAACAATTAATATTGTAACCTTGATGCCTGCATCATAAAGATTTATTTTGAAAATGATAAAATTAGGACACTCTAATATATTTCTAACCCTTTTTCTAACAGCTTTACATGTCCAGTCCACATTAAGCCTTATTTCAAGGGAAAAAGTTGATTTCAGATATTATTATTCATATTTGAAAGTAATACGTGAATCGTAAGAAGATTTATCTTCAAAAACATGTTCGATTTACTGATTAGATCGGTGGCATCTGTAGAATATAGTGTTTATGTGGATCAATCTGTTAAAGCAGGGCTACTGTATCATTTTAACATTAATTTTGCATAGTGACGATACATTTATTCTGCCTCCTGTAATTATCTATTTCTCCAGTACAGTGTTACGGTACCACGAGGTTTTTAGCGCGGATATCGTGCTAGATACGGCACGCGCGGCAACCGAATCAGATTTAAGTGCAATTTTTTCATTGTAAACACTACATACAACGCGCAACACGTTCTACGAGGTCTAAATTTTTGAGGTCTGTAACACTGGAATGGAGCAATATTTAGACGATCTGACACTTTCTGGGGCCTTAGCAACCTAAGAGAAATTAGGGGAACAACTCAGAACAAATTTTTAGTCGAAATTCTGGTGTCTGTCGATGTCCGAAGTTTTGGCAGTAAAGTGATCACAACACAGCTTCTGAAGGCTCTAGAAGGTTCCCGATACCGTCAGAGTGTTCAGTACACTCCATTCTATCATATAAAAACCCTAAAAGAAGTCCCAGGGCTCGAGCAAAAAAGCGTGATATTTGCCCGTAAGAGCCTCTACTAACAAGGCCCCTGCGAGCTGCCAGTAAGATTTCCTGGCCTGACCTTAGGACCTTATATTGAAAACTTAAGTGCTATTTTAACATGTTATACTGGTAAAACCAAAAACATTTGACCGTAAACGGGTTCAACTCGGCGATCATTTTGATTCTGATAGGTTATTAATATATGATATAAATTATAACATATAATTGTTTATATATTATAACTTAACGGGTGATACTCGTAAACAGTAAAATATTTGTTCCATATATTGGACCGTCGACGAGTCCAACTCGGCGTGCGTCCTAGTAGGTTGTAAACCTACAATTTATAACCTATAACAATATTTTCGAAATTTATTTCTGTACGTCTACTAATAACGACTAATTTAAATGCATTAAATATAATTCTGGCAAAATAATTAATTCTTAATGGAACCAAATTTTAGGTGCGCCGCGCATATTTTCGAAAATTTACACCGTAGTTATAGTATGAAAATCGAGCGCTAAAGCAATACTGCCAAATTTTCACAAGAATACTTTAGTAATTTTTTAGTGTTATCGTTGCATTTCAAACCTCCTTTATTCACTTTATTAGGTTATCTTTTCGACGATTAATTTGATTACTATCTATGTTTTCTCGTATTGTCATTGATATTGAGTACACATTGATGAAAGAATAAGGGACAGTCTAAATAGGAAAGATTTTAGAAGAGTCTTAAAAGATTCCAAAGATTGAGCCAATGCAAATGATATGTTGCCTGGTAACAGGAAGTCCTTTGTACATCTTAGGAGCCACTGCAGAGAAGTTACCCACACCAAACTTTGATAATCGGTAATATAATACAGAATCGTGGATTATACCCGATAACTACTGGCCTGTAACAGCCGGCTACTAGCTTACAATTGATGCAAGCGTGGTGTGTGGATGACTCTGCAGCAGCAGGTTCTCTGAAGAAACTCGGGCTGTTGTAGGATTTACTCAGTTTGAACGGTCCTAAGTTAGGCTACTTCCCCAAAAAAGTGAAGACTATTCTTATCCTAAAGGGCCCAAAATGGCTACTACCAGCAGCCATGTTTTTATTTGGAGATACTGGTATAGAGATCACATGCGATGGGGAGCATCATCTGGGAACAGTGATAGGTGGAGAGGAGGCTGTAGAAGAGTTGTCAGAAATTGCTCTTGATGAACCTCAGGCAGCCCTATCATTGTATACCAAAGCCCTCTGTCATCGGTGGACCTTTGTGATGCGCACCATCCAGAACACTATTAATACCTCTTCATCCCATTGGAGAAGTGTACAAGAGAAAAGTTCATTCCGGCAATTATTGGTAGGAATGTGACTGACCTGCACAGGAGAATGTCTGCGCTACCTGTAAGATGAGGGGTGGTTGGTAGCGTTGAGCCAGTAGAGATCGCGGAAAAGGAATACCAGACGTCACTCAAGATAACAGAGGAGCTGGTTGACCTCATCTATGACTGATTTAAGCTCTCCACCCAAATCAGTCATAATATGAGGGAAGAATTCGTGAATACCTGGAAATCTGCCAAGGCCTCCTCACCAAAACTAGAATTCTATAACTTAATTAAACATGATTTTGAACCAGAGGCATACCTACGAATAATCAAAGTACCTGATTTTCGAAAAAGCTTGACAAGGTTTCGTATCAGCTGCCACAACCTCTACGTTGAAAGGGGCAGATACGAAACCCCTCTTGTACCAAGAGAAGAACGTTGGTGCACTTACTGCTTTTTCAGTAAAGGGCTCAAACCTATCGAGGACGAAAGCCATGTATTAATTGACTGTTTGCTTTACTCCTCAGTTAGGGAAAAATTCAACTTTTATCCCCAAAACATCACTGACCTAGCCAGTCTGCTCTCCAACAAAAATCTAGATCCTACCAAATTTACTGCCACAGCAAGAGCAATCCATTCAATTCTCTCTGTGAACGAACAATATACAGCCTATTATAAGAGCCCAGATTTCCACTCAAATACTGGCAAGTGCATAATGCTCTAGGAACTCAAAATAAACTCATGAACCATACAAATAAATGATTTACTTAAAGAAAATAGCATTATATTATAACATTTCTATTTTATCCCTACACATTTGTAAATGATTAGAAGTGTGTAACTTAAATTATTTCAGAATTATAACTATTGTGAACTCAATAAAATAATTATCACTTTTGTATCCTTGTATCCTTGTATCCTTGTATCCTCTATGACCAGGAAGCATCCCTGATGAAGTTGGATAAAATTAAGATAAAGGGCAGAGTTAACAGCCTCAAGTTAGTTAAAGAATTACGCTTGAAGAAGGAGCTTGCTGAGATAATGAGTGAAGTGGATGAGAATACTAGGGAGTCACTGCAACTGGTACAAGAACATGGGTCAGGAGCTTGGCTAACATGTCTCCCCATTCAACAGCTAGGGTATGCTTATAGCGAGCAAGACTTCAGAGATGCTGTTCATCTCTGGTGTGGTTGGGACATCCCTAACACCCCAAGAATCTGTGATTATGGAGCCAAGAATGATCACAATCATATCCTCAACTGTAAGAACTACCGTCATAACAACATGAGAGACTCTGTTGCTGAATACCTTAGGCTGGTGACCAAGGATGTGAGCTGAGGATTTAGCCCCTGTTAACACCTATAGAATCAGCCAACTTCCAACAAAAGGGCAACAATGCTGATATAAGGCTAGGCTCGATATATCAGCAAGAGGAGTATGGAGCACATTTGAGAGGACTTTCTTTGACATGCGTATTTTCAATCCTAAATCGCCTACATATCAAGGAAAGACCATGCCACAGCTCTACACTCTGCACGAGAATGAGAAATAGAACCAGTATGCATGAACAGTGTGCTACAATAATTGAAGAAAGGGCCATTTTTGTCCTCCCTGTATTTACCACTACAGGAGGAATGGCACCTGAGCTTGAGGCCAAGTGTTTTATAAGGAGACTTGCTGTGTTGATAGCCACCAAGACCAAGGAGGACTACACTCTACAGCCAGGTGATGTGTAACATCAGGACACGCCTGAGCATGGATATAAAGACTAAAGAGGAGTGTGCTAGTAGCAGTTAGAGGTGTACATGGAAAGCCAAAGAAGGCATGGACCGCCCCTATATCCAATGTCTCCTTCAACCTGATACCTGAGGAGAAGAGCTACGAAGGATAGACGATATCTATTGCTCAGGATTAACGTTTGTGCTCTGCCAATTGCATCACTTGATTTAATTTATTGTATATATATTATATATACTGTTTAACATTTTTCACTCTTCAATAAAAAACTAGCTTAATGTCAGTAGGTCGTTAAGAATTTTTGTGTGCACACACGTACACAGATACCTAACAGTATTATTATTATTATATCTTGTCTGGATATTCGAACCTTTCGAATTGTATCTCGAAATTTATGTTTAAATTCCCTGTGTAGTTTTTTCAAGGTATAATGGGAATAATATTGTAAAATGTCTATTGTATAATGTCATCATTTTATGGCTCTTCAAGTATCCATTTTGATTGATGTAGCAATTTGAAGTTGCAGCCGAAGATTTATTGATTTTAATGTGGTCCATTCTTAATAAAAATATTTTGCGTTACTATTTGTTTAAACTGCTTTAGTTTTTAACTGTTTAGGAGATGATTTGAAGCAGTGCAACGATCTAAGTGCGGTGAAAACGAAGTCAGACCAAAGCCAGATGCTTTAGTTCACACTGTGACTGATTAATGTACCTCTCAACCTCTGCAGTCTGCAACATACTGACTGTCTTACTTGTAACCTGGTTAGTTATAATAGTTATTTTTAATCGTATACCTTCAAGCTTTCCTCCAAACACTGATTTATTGCTAGTATTTTATATTACTGAGCAGACTGAACCAAGTTTTGATTAAATGATTAAGATTATTAAAGTTGAGATCATAATCGTATTAATCCAACAATTAATGATCGCTTGTATTTGTTGCTGTGAGACACAAAACACTACACATCCACATTTGACACTAAACACTACGCCTTACACGCTAAACACTACACATTACACTAGGACTCTAGGAGACAATGAATCTAACGGCCTGTGATTTGTGAATAACCGAAATTTAACGTATACTGTAAATGTATCTATTTATTCACTAAGAAAATCATTAATTTATGAGCTAGTACCTGAGTGTAATAGTGCTTATGTAGATCGTGGATTTATATCTAATATTAATAACAATGCAGTTCCCTCTTAATAAAGGTCACCATACAAGTTGTACTTTTTGAATAACTTTTTATCCTTTTTTCTAACATTTATTCTGTAAATAGTTGTTGGTAGTTCTAAAGTTTAATGGCAATTTCTGAATGTTTTGCGATACTTACTCTGGTTACTCATTTTTGTTGATGGAGGTTATTTTTAATCAACAGCGGTGTCATAGTCACTTGAGGTCCATGCTGTATTGTTGGCTGCATGTTGCAGCTTTATGAATTCCTAGGCGACTTTTAGCAATGGTGATTGTATAGAAGTTGTCAACAAGCTTGAGCTGGTGCTATTGTGCTCCTGATTTCAGTGGACATTTTATTAAATTGTAGTGGACTGTC